AGAAGTGCAAATCAGCGTATATGAACTGTGCCTCGTCTCTGCACCTCCTGTGTGCCATTCTTGTACTCGTCCAGCAGGCTTATGATTACTTGCTACTTTGTAGATGGTTCCCTGAGGGTTGGAACCAGGTTTCATTCATCGGGCCTAGTTCAGGGTACCTGGCACTCAAGGCTGTTGAATTGAAACCTAGTTGCAGGCCTGCTGGCGGCTGTCGAAGGGCAGGGCACAGTGGGACCCTGTGGATGGATCTGCTTTTGCTGTAGGATATAGGACCGGCCAGTCTAGAAGGAACCTTGGGGGTCGTCTGGCCCAAATCCCAGGCCACAAAGTGAAGTGAGCAGCCCCCGTCCCAGACATCAGGTGACAGGGTAGACCTTGGACTCAACTTCTGAGTCCCAGTTCCTGTCTTTGCTCGTTTTTGTTTCTATTTTTTAAATTACTTTTAAAATATATTTAGTGAAGTGAAACATTAGCAATGAAACAGAATAGAGAGCCTAGAAATAAACACATGCATATATGGTCAGTTAATTTATGGCAAAGGAACCAGGAATATACAATGGGGAAAGGATGGTCTCTTAAATAAATGGTGTTGGGAAAATTGGATATCCACATGAAATAGAATGAAAATGAACCCCAGTCTTATACCATACACAAAAATCAACTGAAATTGTTTTTAGTTATCTGATAACTTTAAAAGAGCACATTAACATATATGTAAGATTTAGCATCATGATATTATGAGCAACCTCGGACCCACCATTTCATGAAAGATCAATATGAATATCAACTTTTGTCTTCACCTAGTGCCTTTCCCCCTTAAAGCTACTCTTCTCACTCTTCTGAATTTTTTTATTTATCGTTCCCTTGCCTTGGCTATTAAGAAGGAAAAAAAAAAGCCTTGCTATGTTAATTTAAAATGTGTGTGTGTGTGTTTATGTCTAAATTATAGTTCAGCATTTCTTGGTTTTGAGCTTTATAAAAGTGGCAGCACCCTCAGTGGTCCCCTGGGGCTTTCTTCTTCACTCCCACCCTCATTCCATTTCTGGGGTCACTCTCGTTGTTGCATGGAGCTTATTAGCTCATCCATGTTTTCCTCGTCGACTCGGGCCATTTCCTGTTTGGGCCCCTGAGGATTTGGGATGACTCCCATGCAGAGGGTTCCAGCTCACTCTAATTTTAACTTTTTACAAGCTGTCATGAAGCTTTCCCGTGTTGCTTGGCTTATGGGAAGCTTTTAGTCATTTGCTAACTTAATGAAAATTAGATATCCTTAGCCTTAGAGATTCATAGTGAAATATTTCCAGTTAAGATTAATTGGGGTTAATGCAAAATATGAGATAAACCATTTTACAACAGTTGATCCCTTCTGAATCCCAGTATGTTCTGGATTAAAGCTCCCGTGTAGCTAGTCTTAACTACGTCTGTGTTTTTATTTTAGTTCTCAGGAAGACTGTTAATATCCAAATTGATTTCCAAAGACCAGAAGTTCTTAGGGGTTATGAGTGGTCTGTGAAGTAGAATTGTATTTGCAGTTTTCTGGGGCCTTCGCTTTGATTAGAGTCTGGGAGTCTGCAGTCCCCAAAACGGATTGTTTCAAACCAGGGTTTCTCAAACTTGACTCTACTGGGACTTTGGGCCAGGTTGTTGGGGACCGTCTGGTACATTGTAGGATATTTAGAAGCATCCCCGGTCGCTACCCGTTAGATGCCAGTAGCTTCCCCTCCCCCAGTGATGACAGCCAAAATGATCTCCAAGCATTGCCCAAGAGACTGGGGGGGCTCATGGCAAGGGCGCAATAGTCCCAGTGGAGAAGCACTAGCTCCCACCTTTAAAAAAAAGTAGACAATTTTTTAGAGCAGTTTTAGGTTCACAGCCAAGTTGAGCGGAAGGCACAGAGGCTGCCCCTGTAACCGCTGCCCTCACACAGGCATCGCTCCCTCACTATCAGCATCGCCCGCCAGAGCTGCAATTGATAAACCTACCCTGGTACCTCATCATAAATTAACACTCATCGTTTCCACTATGGCTCACTCTTGGCGTTGTGCATTCTGTGGGCTTGAACAAATTTATGATGACACATAGCCACCATTTATGGCATCATACAGAGTGGTTTCGCTGCCCGAAGACTCCTCTGTGCTCTTTCACCCCTGCTTCCCCTCCCGCCCTTGGCAACCATTCATCTGTTTGCCGTCTTTACAGTTTTGTCTGTTCCAGAATGCCATATGGTTGGAATCTGACAGTGTGTAGCCTTTTTAGATTAATATATTAATATTTCACTTCGTAATTTACATTTCCATTTCCTCCATGTCTTTTCATGGCTTGATAGTTCATCTCTTTTCTCTTGTTTTTAAATTTTATTTTTCAGTTAATTACAGTTTACATTTAATATTATTTTATATTAGTTTCAGGTGTTCAGCATAGCGGTTAGACAGTTTTGTACTTTACAAAGTGTTCCCTCTCCCCATATTTCTAGTATCCACCCAGCACCATACATAGTTATTACAGTATTATTGACTGTATGGTAGGTCATTGCTTTTCAGCCTGAGTAACGTCCCTATCTGGAGGTACTATGGTTGGTTTATCCGTTCCCCTACCAAAGGACATCTTGATTGCTTCTAAGTTTTGGCAATTATGAATAAAGCTGCTGTAAATATTTATATGCAGGTTTTTGTGTGGACATAAGTTTTCAGGTCCTTTGGGTAAAAACCAAGGGGTGCTGTTGAATTGTATAGTAAGAATATGCTCAGTCTTGTAAGAAACTACCCAGGTGTCTTCAGAAGTGCTTGTACCATTTTGCATTTCCACCAGCAGTGAAGCAGAGTTTCTGTTGCTCTACATCCTTGTCAGCATTTGGTGTCATTAGAGTTCTGGATTTTGGCCATTCCAGTAAGTGTATGATGGTATTTCATTATAGTTTTAATTTACATTTCTGGGTGACATACGATGTCAAGCATTATTTTATATGCTCATTTGCCATCTGTGTACCTTCTTTGGTGAGATGTCTGTGAAGTTCTTTGGCCCATTAGTTTGCACTTTTTAACTAGCTGACTTGAATAAGGTTTTCTATTCTTGCACAGCCAAGAGGGCACATAACTATGTAATGGAGTTTGAACACCTAGCTCCAATTTAGAGCAACAGGAAAGACTTAGGGTTGGGTTGGATGGGGCAAATGTTATAAAATATATTTAAAATATTTAAAACATGTATTTGCATACCTATGGAAAATACTCATAATCAGACACATGCTGTATGAGTTAAACAGGTATTAACTAAACTATTGCAAGAATCCTCTGAGGTAGATATGCTCTGTTTTATGGATAAATAGAGGCTTGTAGAGGCTATTATTCAAGGCCATAAATTAATGAATGGCAGAACTGGGAATGGAATATAAGTCTAGTATCAAATCAGCTAATCTGTGTTCTCGACCTTAGAAGTGTTAGAATGTCTTCCCGTGCCAGCGGGCCAGGCCCATGGCACCATGGCCTTGGCCAGGTAGAAGGCATGCCCCAAGTAGGGAATTCATGGTTGCTAGAATGTTGCACTAAGCAGAACAAGTGCTACAAAGTTTCTGGTGTATGTTTCTTTATAGGGTAGCTCAGGTTGTTGTGTGTCCCAGAATAGTCCCTGACAACCATCTTGAGCAGAGGTTTTTTGGTTGGTTTTTTTTAACCTTTTAAAAAACAGCCTGTTGTATATGGCCCTATTAGTTACCTGAAAATGAAATTGTTTCCAGTTTACTTAATGTGTTATGCTTTTGAAATGACTATAAAGTGGATCCTTGTCTCCCAGCCTGTTTAAGGTTAATATAGCAGGAGTGTAGATAGATGGTCTGAGTCAAAAGATGGTCTGAGTCAAAGGTTATTTTTCATTACAGCCAAATATGGCATTTCCAGGATTACTTTGTGTATTTTATGAAGATTATTCAGCTGCTTGATTTAAAGCTTTTAAAAACCCTGAGATTTGTCTGACCAGAGCAGGATCGGGATGCCGCTCAGGTAGTACTCTGATGGGTTCTGTTGGGGACTCCATCTGCCTTACGTGCATTTCTTAGCATCTTTACCATTTTACCTGGCCCACCTTTCTTACCTTATTTCTTGTTGGACCTCCTGAGGTCTGGCCTTCCACGTTATAGCACACTCTGCATGGGATTGTCTTTGCACTTTTCCTTCTCCCTCCATTATTTATTAGATACTTAGAGTGACTGGCACAGGGTGGCTCTCAGTAAGTATTTGCATCGTGAAATTAAATGAGGAGAGTACTATGAAGCACGCAAGGCTGAAAGAAGGTGCTCAGTACACCAGAGTCACCTTCATCCCCCCAGGCCCCTGGAGCGGTGTCCCAGGCCCTTGGAGCAGTATGACGGCAGTGTGTTGCCTTGTAGTCCACTTGGCCAGCAAGAGTGAGCTCTCGGCTGTAAGCGGTTCAGTTCAGGTCCTGGTCTTTTGGCAAGGGCCAGGCCCCAAGGAAAATGCACCCGGCTTTAGTAGAATGAATGAAGCACTTACACTGTCCATTGATTTTGCCACTTGTTCTTCGCCTGGCCTCTCTGGCTTGGAGCTCAAGGAACCTGGCCTGGTGATGCTTTCTGATACTACCTGTTTAAATCCAGGTTATAGCAAAGGATAAAGCTTACTCTGTGTTTCAAACATGCTCCCCATAGAACCAGCTGGGAATTAACGCGTGTGCGTCTCCCATAGTCTGCTGCATTAGAGAAGAAAAGCTGGGGGAGGGCTTTGAGATGTGGGTAGAAGAGGGTCACTTTACGAACTCTCTAGCCTATTTCCCACTTCTTTGAGTATCTTTTGGACGCCTCCACTTGAGACACACACTGCTGTCAGAGAGGCTAGCAGTCTCCCTCTAGGAGATGGGACGGGGAGCCCGCTGCTGCTTGGTCTTAGAATACCCTGGGCAAATTGAAACGGCAAAAATGCTTGTTGAAAGAGGGTTCTTGGTGTTTCTGTTGGCAAATGACTGAGACACTTTTGTTTCTCCTTTCACAGAGTGATCAGCAGCTGGACTGTGCCTTGGACTTAATGAGGCGCCTGCCTCCACAGCAGATCGAGAAAAACCTCAGCGACCTGATCGACTTGGTACGTGCCGTGCTCTCATGGCTTCCTGTGGGGCTGTGGCTCATCATTGTTTGCTTTCGGTATTTTTTTCCATGCAGAATGCAAAACACACAGGAAACCTCCTCTCTCTCCAGCCAGACACTACCACTGGGTTACAAGAGTCCTCCAGACAGACGTTTCTTTGGTTGTCTTATTTTCAGCACCGCCTGTGTTAGTAAAGTCCAAGATAGGAATTCTGAAGTTGATTACAGTCCGTCTTCTTGCTTGTCCCCAGTCTCTAGAGCTCTCCCCTAGGCCTGGGGAAGAGGCCACATGCCCAGCAGGCGTTCCGCACATGCGGTACCAGGCTCTGCCTGCCTCTCGGCCGCTGGGGAAGTTTCTAGCCAAAGCGGTAGGAAATGCTGCCCTGTAAAATGCTTCAGTGGCTTCAATTCTAGTTTGAAATGGCATAAAACACCGAAGTTGGCGTTTGAAGATCTCTTCACATCTATTTTTTAAATATTTAATTTTAAGATGCAAAATTATTGGTCTCAAAATGATGCCTGAGATGAAGTGGGACCATAATATTATTTGAAAATGCTTGAAGTATTAAAAAATGTCTATAAAGTTCTGAGAAATACTGAAAAGAGGTAAAATAAAATAAAATCAGGCCCCAAGAGGTCAACTGAGTTACTACCTCATTTGGCCAGTGTGAGCTCCAGCGCTAACTCCAAGTCCTCTGTTCTCTTCCTCTGTCCCCTGTCGTCTTGGATATAATTATCACCTGCCAACCCTGGCTCATCAGCGAGGTATCTTTTAAAATAGTGGTTTGAGAACTTGTTCGTATACTGGGGTGTTATATTTAATTTGATTGTATGAATTCTAGACAGTTTTACTAGAAAAGAAACAGGACTGCAGGAGACTCACGTCATTCACAGATAAAACCCTTCACAGGGGCCTGGAAGGTCCAGCGTGCAACTGTTTTATATTGACAGGGACACGGGACTCCCAGCTGAGAGGCAGCTGTGTGAGACAGAGCGGAGCCTGCTGAAGGAGCTGTGAGCCTGCTCTCTTTCACGTGCGATAATTCAGGGAGTGGGAAGAAGGAGGGTTCACGAGGTAAAAGGTCCAGACGAGAAAGCCAGCCCCAGGGGCTTGCAATGGACGTGGAGGGGGAGGGGAAGTGTGATGGCGCCTGGCTAGACAAGGAACTTCTTTGGATGAGCAGTAAAGAAAGAAGGTGGAATTGCGATACAAATGAACCTCTTGTATGCTCAGAATCCAGGGTCACAGACCGAGGGCCAGCAAGGTGGCAGCAGCCACTGAAGTGGCCTTGGTGTAAACACGGGGTCTGGCTGGCAGGACCCACCTGAGACAGTGGCGGCCCCCCTGCTCCAGCCACTTGTTGCCCTGTGCGGACATGATACCTGTTGCTTGTTTTCCTGTATTTTTGGAGGAGCCATACACTTGGAGTTGTAGGTGAAATATCCTGGTTTTTAAATATTGGCCCAAACATTGGATTGGTTAGATATATTTTGTGTAGAATTTAGGCACGTGCCTGGGAAATGAGAGTTGTGGGGACGGAGGTCAGGAAAAAAAAAAACAGTCTTTGCTGGGAAATAATGAAGTATTTTTGGATAGGTAGAAAGGGTCCTTTAAAGTCAGGAGGGCTCGAATTTGATGTGATGGCTAGTTGTTACCCACAGCCCCCTTACTGAGCTTTGTACAAAGCACTTGTGCTAAGCAGTTTGCCCGCATGTCTCTATTTAACTTGACAGCTGTGTAAGGCAGCACGGCGGGATGCAGTGTGGATGGGCTGCATACTTTTGCATTTCCTCTGTCAGGGAGTTTTGAGGGTGCTATGTGAAGAAGTGGGCAAAAGTGAAGGTATGATCAGGTCCCTAACTTGGGCAGCAGCAGAGGCTTCTTTTTTGTCTAAGCTCAGCATGAAAGTGTGCTTCGGTGAGTTTGTTTAGTTTGCCAGTTTCGTTATGACTGTGTTTTACAAGTAAACCAAACATAGAACGAATGATGAGCACATTTTTCTCAGACTCATCTTTGTGTTTAACAAGCAATTTTGATTTTATGGCAACTAAAGCTATGCGTTTTCTCTGTGAGTCCCCCGTCATTCTTTATTTCAGAGATGTGCATGATGCTGCTTTTAGGGAAATCTAGTTGGCTGGTTCCCTTGCTGCATGTGCTGGTTGTGCTTAGCCTCAACAGGCAAGTTGCAACACTGATGGGAAATGAAGGCAACATCTTTCACGTTAGCCAGAATATTGGGTGGGAGAGATCAGCCCTGAGGTTCAGTTCGCAGGAGAGTGCTCAGACCCAGGTTGCGGCGCCACACTATGCCTGTCCCTGGTATGTGGTGTAGCACGTGGCATCCCATAGGATGCCATCAGTGCGCACTGCCTCGCCACACTTAACTTCGTCTTCTGTAGAATGTGGCTGGAGGAGGGGTGGGGGCAGGTGGAGGTTGCGGGACTGAGCCGGATGCTTTTATTTGTGTTATCATTTCCTTGACTTCCTATAATGTATATGTGACCACTTCACCTTTCCTAGGTGATTGAGATTGAGGAAGAAGCAGGGTGTGGCGTGGCGTGGCGTGGCGTGGCGTGGCGTGGCGTGGCGAGGCTGCCCCCGGAATCCCATTTCCTGCTGCTGGGGACTCTGCTGGGCGCCTTTGGGTCCAGTCACATGCACCCAGCAACAGGTCAAATGTGGGTGCATCTTCCTGACGTGTCAGCGTTATGTGTTGGAGGAAAAATGTTAAATAATTTTGGTTTGTTAGTAATCTAAACTATTAAAACAGATGTATTATGGAGAATAATTTAAAATTCACATAATTAAAATAATAATACCTGGAGACTTGAAAGACGTTTCCTTGTTAGAGCCAGACCTCTTAGGGTCATCCGTCCCCTTCTGTCCCCTGCTTCCCCGGGAGGCTGGGGAGGCGACGGCGTCCCCTCACCACTGCCTGGAGGCTGGCTTTGGGCCCGTCCGCCTCCTAAGGCTGAGCAAGAGGCCGTGCATGATTCCCATCATCCGGAACGGACTGGGGAATCAGTGTTCATGCTAATTTTTTTAAAATTTGAAGTATGATGAATGTCAAAATGGAAATGAAGCATGACTTCTCAGTGAATTAGAATCTGGTAAAGCATGCCTCATTGAAACTGTATTGACGTGCTTCAGAAGCCACTTTTTGATTAATGGTCTTGCTTCAAGGTCCTTGCTTTGCACTGTAGTGTATAAGGGGCATTTGAGCTAGTTTTGTGTGTTGGATCCTATGACGAGTCCTAGAAATCACTTCTTTGAATGTTTCCCTTCAATCACTGTTGTTTTTCTTAAACTTTCCGTGGGAATGACAGTTATATTTTTCTTTTGGACTGCATTTGTAAAATTCTCTTATCCTTGTCAGAGTTGGTCTGTGCTGAGTGTACTGCTGTGGCTCTGAAGCTCCCTTGCAGTTGTAGTTTCTCCCCAAAGCTGTAATTTCAGAAAACTCACACTGTTACGGGTCCACCTAGAAGCAGTGTATCCGGGCCTTTGTTTCATGTAATCTGGGATCAGTCAGAGGTTTTCAGAGCCGCTAATACACTGCTCTGTGCAAATTGCCGTCATTCTTGCCGTGCTCACCTGCCTAAAATAATGAAGGGGAGGAGGTTGTTTTCAAGAAAAGTCTCCAATTTTAAGACGGACAAGAATGCTGGGATTTGCCAGCATTCCCCATGAAGAGAATGGCCTCCCTTAGATGTTGGAGCCAGAGAACTGTAGGCAAATGTACCCGGTCCACCAGTGGTCCGATTACAGAGTAGTATTAAAGAGAAATGTGGCGTATGCTTGGCAGCTAGGCCAAGGCAGCCCAATTTATCATGCCAGATCGGCTTGCTTTTCTTCTTTTCTCTTTCCAGCATCGGAGCTTTTGCTGCCTTGGGATTATAGTGCACACTCTGGTTGGTGGGAAATGACCTTCTTTTGCAGATGGTCAAAACATCATTTTATTACATATTAATCCCATTGTGCTGGAGTAAAGCCAGCCAAAGTCCATTGTTAAGCTGTTTCAAAAATACTCACAGGTCCATGTGGGCCAAGAATCCTGTGATGCTAAGATGCTCCCCTGGCTTCCTAAACTTTGACCTTCTATGGCTTTGCTCTGCACACTGGCAGCGATAGCTGGGGTGTATTTTGAGCCCTGAGCTGAAGAAGGAGTTTGTTTCTGCAAATTGGCACCTTTGCCTTTCTAATCTAAGAGCAAACCAAAAATAGCCAAGTCTCTGTTTGCACTGGGCACTTCATTTTTAAATTCCTTTTCTTTTCTCTGCTGTAGTCACCCAAAGGTCCAGTTCTTGAGTGTCCCCAGACTTTAACCAAGCAAGGCAGAAGACAGCAGAGCTGGCCGGGAAAGCATCTTAGCCATCCTAGCCGGGCTTGCAGGTTAGAGGTGAAAGAGACACCCAGCTGCTCTGACGGGGGAGTTGATAACTTGATCGGTTTTCATCCCAGCATATGCCTCTTTTTAGAAGCCAGAATTGCTCCCGTGAAGGAGAAAGGGCCAGCGGGGTTCAGGGCCTTGTGCTGCCACACCCCCCGCCCCGCCCCGGCCCCACGATACCTTTGCTTTGAATGGCTTGCAGAGGCCGCCGCCTCTAGTTTGGGTGGTGGGTGTGATGTCTGCATAGGGGCAGGGGGCCCTGGCGGGTTAGGAGGCTGAGGGCACGCGGTGCACTGGGGCTCCCTGGGTGAGGAGTGGAGACCTGCAGCTTACATTTCTAAGCACCTGCTCATCGTGACTTCATCTGCCCACGGAGCCAAGCTCCCACACATTGTGACTGGTAAAATTAAGGCTGATATATGTAATAGCTCATTAATATCGCTGATTACCTGAATTCTGCTGAGCATTGTTACTCCTCCTTCAGTCTCTAATAGTTAAACCAATGAGACCTGCAAGTACTTTTCCCCATGACAGCTGTGTGGAACGAGGAATCACACTTCATTCTCTTCCCAGGTGATGAAGACGTGCTGGCTTTTGGGGGTCTTGA